TACACAGAAAGTCCTGATCTTACAAACTGTGGATAAAGATCCCAGATATCCGTCTGTCGTTCTGTTTACATCATCATCATCATCATCATCACATGTCCTGGAACCAAACGAGGAGTGAGAATGCGAACCGGACGGGAAGCCGAGGGGAAAGTCAGACCAGGGAGAGAGATTTCAAATCATAACGTGTGACCTGAAACGCTAGGAGTTAGTGAGCGCTGCTGATGTTTCTCACTCCACACACACACACTCACTCTCACACACACACACACTTACTTCACTGAACACACACACACAGTCCCCGTCTGCCACAGCCGATTTCTGCTTTCAAATGGACCCATTTATTGAAGCGTGTGCCGTAAGAACAACTAAACAGAAAATTACTTCCTGTACTATGTATACTACGTCAGCGCTGGAGTATACGAACATGTGAAGCGCCGCCCGATGCCGTTCTGAGTGGGACACACATCCACACACGATACCCTGTCTAGAAGATTAAAGTATGAAGATCTACTCTCCGTCCCGCTTCAACCCTAGAGTTTTGCATTTGTACTAGCGTCGTCAACTACTTTGGCCTGGAAGCACTGATACCCATTGACTACCACAGAGAACTTCCACTGCATGTTACCAAGTTGACGTAAATGTACTCAAAATACCATTAGGAAAAAAGTAGTGAGTTCTAAACTTCCTTTATTAAAAAAATATAAATATGTACATAAATTCTATTTCAGCTATTAAAATGGGGTCACAAAGTAAACACCTGAAGCCTGTTTCATGGACTCCCTCTGTATGCCGTGACCACAGGAACCCTAAAGAACCGTGCGCCCGCTCGCACCCGTCACCACCGCGCACGCAGACGGACGGAGAGAGCGAGCGATCGAGAGCAGCCCGTCTCCCTCCCGGTCTCTGCCGGATTGCTTTCGTTGCGTGAGATTCGAGAGGATCTCCGACTGTCCAGCTGCTCTGGGACCAGCCGAGCAGCTCGCAGCATCCGCGTCCACCGTCCCGTGAGAGCCGAATCAACACAAAACCCCCGACGGGAAACGCTTGCAGCTCGTGCTGCCGCCGTCTGGTAAGAGGAAATGAAGAGAAAGAAAAACAGAGCGACAGAATTTCGTAAGCGATGGCGTCCAGGATTGGGCTCTCTGCCACATCAAACATCACTTCCAGTTCTGACAGTCGTTTACTGACATGACACACACCTTTGCTTCAAAGTGCAGAACTGCTACATTATTGGTTGCAGACATCTATGTTCTATAAAAAAAACGCCTTTGGTACAATAAATTATCAAAAGGGAGAAACAAAAGTGGTGTAAAATTCACAGCATAATCGTGAAGCCAAATCAAAGAAGCGAAAGGGCCAAAGTAAAACACACATGCCGAGCACAACAGAAGAGCGGGAAGGGACACGGCCGTCGCTGATACCGTCAGTCCTGCGGATCTCTAGTGAAGAAAGGCCTCGGATCACCGTTCTGTTCTGGCGTGTCGTGAATGAAGGGTGTTCGCACGTCAAAAATACATGAAAGCTTTTGTCACTTGAAGAAATGTCCGGCTCGTCTTCATTCAGTCCGTAACGATAAGGCCATTTTAAAGAAGCGCTGCCCGCGGCCGCACGCGCCCGTCACAGGGGTCTCATTGCACTCTGGGAAAGCTCTGCTCGAAGCACACGACGTGAAGAAGAAAAGACGCGAGCGCGGTGGGGGGATTGGGGTGGGTCGGCCGTGACGCTCTCGCTCCCGTGCGCACGAGCATCTGAAACCATCTGAGAATCGGAGAACAGAAGCAAAGGTCAGAGGAGGAAAGCCTCGTGTCAAGCGTCCGCGGCGGCTCTCGTCTCGTTCCAGCAGCTTTAATCCCAACAAACGCACGCTCTCAGGCTAGGATAGTCAGGAGCTGGCCACCGAGCTCTGCTGCACGCACACACCCGCCATGGGCGACTCCTCGCGCTCCAGGCCCGGCCGCAGGCCCATGTGAGTCTCAGCTATGTAGTGGCCCGGCCCAGAGTTCGAGGGGTGGCCCGGCACGCCCGTCTCCTGCCGCGGGTTGGAGAAGGCACCCAGTCCCAAAGTCATGCTGCCGTTGTGGCCGAAGCCCAGGCGGCTCTGGTAGGCGTAGTGATGGTTTCCGGTGGAGGACGAGGACGTGGACGAGGACGAGGCGGAGGAAGACAGCGAGGTCATGGACAGGTGGCCGTGGGTCACCTCCATGGAGTCCTGCGTGGAGGCGCTGTGAGAGGGCGAGTAGAGGCGGGGCCGGGGCCTGGCGGGGCCCGGGGCGTGCTGCTGCGGCGGGTGGTGGTGGTGATGATGATGATGGGGGTGCAGAGCCTTGGGCTGGTGTGGCGGCACGTGGAAGGTGGTCTCCTGGACGGGGTGCGTCTCTCCGGCCGCCTGCTGGAGTCCGTCTCCTCCCACCCAACCCAGCGCCGGAGCGAAGCCCTGTCTCGCCTGAGGAAGAGCACAGACACAGATCAAGCTCCCAGCTCGTTAAATCATGCAGCCAACAAAC